CTCTCTCTTCTGATTTCGCTCGCGCTTGCAGCGGTCATTCGCGAATCTCATGTACTAACTCTGGTACCAAAGCATTTCAGACATCTTCGGAATCTATTATATGTGGGAACTGTTCAGAAGAAGACCTCTGGACCGACATGATTGGATTATTGTTTATTCGGTGACCTGGGCCAACGACGAACTATTTTAAAGGGAACAACTGTTAGTGAGTCTGTTCTGTCTGATCTATTTATTTTTGTATACCCAACCTAGCGTAATCATTTTTATTTCTTTGCCACACACTCCTGGTAAACTAACTTGTTGGGTAGCCGGAACACTACAATCGTCTCTTAGCCACAGCGCGCACACTTCAGACAAATCCCTTTTTCTCTCACTCTCCTAATGTTGAACTTTACTTCTTCACTTTTACACACGCATACCAATATCTAGGCCAGCTCACACACTTTCTATCATCCCCCGAGAGCAGTCAATTTTAAACAGGTTGAATAAATGAACTGTGTGATACCAAGTCAGTCTTCAGAAATCACCAAGCTCTTTTGAGCCTGTCAAATTTTCTCTCCGGATTTCAAGTTTTCATCTTCGGCGGTATATCATCTAAGGGCCCTGTTCGGCCGCTATCGACCTCGCCTGATTCCCCCCTTCTACCGCCGCTGATAGTCAACTGGACCCATGATTATATATCGGCCTTTTTCCACATGTGCTGATCTTCTTGACCGATCTAAAACCCATTAATAGTAGAGGTGCACGTGTCCTATCTAAGCACTCCAACCCTGGTTCTCTCTGAGAACTGTCTGGAAACTGAAGCATGATGGTTCAATAATGGCGCAGAACTGCCACGTTTGACCTGATGACACATCCGTCACCCTCCTCCTGATACCATCAACTATCTCCTCGCCTATTCAAGAGCTTGGAAAATGCAAACAATTTGCCTATCTGGACCCAACTCAACTGGGGATAACTCATTCTAGTCTACTGATCTTTTTCCCATGATTACCAGCTCGGTATTATAATGTATTCACAGCCTACCCTGTGCACAAGTTTTATTACATTCCTTACGTTGCCAGTTTATCCACCCGCATTAACAATGATTCGCTCGCGAGAATTTTGCCAGTGACACTTACTAAAAAACGAAACAAAAACAACTACCCAGTTTCGCTGTGCACCATAGTTTTTGGGTGCATGTCGTCAACTAGCCCCACTGCCGTTTCTCCTCCTGAATGTATCTGTAAATTTCTTCGTGACACTGAACACTGGTCGTCAGTAGCGGGTGAAGATTTAGTTCAAATTAGTTGCCTTTATCACTGTAGAAATGATGCCTTGCCAGCCTATATTTATCGCGATCCATTTCTCACAACTCAGTATTTATTATCAAGTGATAAGCATGTCTTTCTCTGGATTTACCCTCCTCACTTGATTGTTACTTCCATGTTTAAATGACTACGATTAATCAGGCTTTAGTGGACGTACTCCCCACAGGCTGGGTTGCGAACCGATTACTGGTACGGATCTGGTACATCTTTTCTGATAGTAATCAACATGCTATTTAGGACAGTTAGGCCCAAGACTATCATTTTCACTTGAACTATTGTCTTTCTTTACTTTTCCATCAACCTGCCTGCTCTCGTACTTCTTTCTGTCTACATGCCGATGACGTGTGTTGACGAGTTCAAACTACTGCACAGTGCTCAGTAGCTCTGCAAGTTGTCATAAACGCCTGCTTAGTGGGGGAACATCGAAAACCCACCATCGTTAACAAATGCAAAGAGCGCACATGGCTTCCATTATTCTTCCTTTCGAACTGCCTAATAACCCTGCTCCTCACTATTAACTCTGTGCAGCATCACGAAACTCGGGGAGATACATTTCCATGGAATTCTCTCACGGCGCACTGGCTACGTTTTTTCATTGTAAAAGGGAAGAAAGCGCCCAAAATACCCTGCTCTACCTTCCCATTTTTCACTCCAGATAACTCTTCATAACTTCTCCACCTCGGTACGAGCACTGCCTCTGGGCCTTAATTCGCTGGTTCAAATGCAATAAAGCGGGTGCAGAATATCTAATGTGGAGCAATCAGAAATTTTGAGGTCTTTCACCACCCCGAATACTATGATTAACAAATGAGCTTCGGACCCTACCGCAAGAACCTATGACCCTACGGCTGTCTCATTCACACTTATGAAGTGTCGATCAATGAAAAGGTTACTCTTGTTTACAGCTCCTCCACGATAGCAACGTAGGTAATCACCAGCTCAGTGGGTCAAAGAGATTTCTAGACACACCACTTTGTTGACTCGGCGGTATGCGAAATTTATGCATTCGTCATACATGCATCCTAGCGAACGGTGAATGGATGCCCCCCTTAATTTTAACGATTTACCATCACACTGTTTCCGGATGCGAGAAGCATTGAGCTTGGTCCACAAAAACTTGGATTACTACTTATGTCTATCATTGGTGAATCCGAATTCCAATCAGAGGACCCGAATGGATCGGTCAGGTCGACACTTGAAAACCGTATTCGACGGGGCAAACGCCGATCTCCGTGAGTGACCCAGTAGCATTACCTGAAGTCTGCAGAGAACACTGAAGGCCCGTATTCTGCTTCAGCGATATCGTCGCGTCGAATCATTTCGAGGCGTAACCACAAAATTCCGTTAGCCAACTAATTCTCCACGGATTCGGCGTATTACTCACAGGGACTTCTGGATACTCTATGGGGGCTACGCCAGACAATTTCTTGAATAAGCTAACAAAGTTGTCTACTCAAGAGACACTGAAGACGTAACACTCATTGAGTCCGTCTGAAGGGATACTGAGAAAAAGGTTGCCGGTTTCAAATCTGGGTCTTGTTCGATGGCGCGTTTAAGCGACATCCTGCCCATTGCCGTTTGTTCAAGTGAGCGAACTTTCAAGGTCACGAAACTGCCGATTCACATGCGACTAGTGTAACGCATTTGAAACTCGAATGTATCGGCTTGCACTCCCATCATAGGACCTTATACGTGCCTCTTTCTCTCTTTCCCTATTACAGGTTCCATGGTCGAGCCACCACGAACCCCGAACAGCAAAGAATAGCCGCTTGTACAACCCCCACCCCCTGACTGACCTTGACCGACCCCCCTTTGTACACCCCCGTCTTCCGGTTTCGGTTTCGGGTTAATACACGTGTGTCGCTACCACGCTCCGGTGTTCTCTTCTGTCCCACCCGACCTGTGCGCATGTGTGCTGTGTATACCGTGTGAACTCATTAATACCAGTCCGTATATCTGCACATTTCAGAACTAACGTGTGCCGTCGCTACATCCTCTCGAACGTCGAATACCGCTGACTTCCTGACGTCCCACGCTACACTAGTGTAACGCAGTTGAAACTCCACTGTATCTGCTTGCCCGTCTCTCATATGACCCTATACGTGCCTCTCCCCCTATTGCAGGTACCACGGACGAGCTCCCACGAGCCCCGGGCAGGAAAGAGTTGCCCTCCTTTACACCCCGGTGATTGACCTTGAGCTGACTTTGTACCTCCGAATTCCGGTTTCGGTCTAATACACGTGTGTTGTTGCCACGCTCCAGTGTTCTTTCCTGTGCCACCCGACCTGGGCGAATGTGTGCCGTGTGGATTCCGCAACACCAACCTCTATATCTGCACATTTCAGAACCGACGTGTACCGTCGCTACATCCTCTCGAACGTCAAATACCACTGACTTCCTGACGTACCACGGTACATTGGCAGGTCAAATACAAGTCACTGCATATTTCAAAGGTTCACGGTATTCTGGAAACGGAGGTAACTTTGACATAATCTGTGATGCAGATTCCACCTATTCGGTTACCTGAATAACGTTTGCATCAGTTCTTCTCATCAGCCGTAGCAAATCATTTGAAGTCACCAGGCAATGCTAACCAGTCATTGACTGCGGACAATACTGATATACAAGGCCTTGAGGACCAGTCCAGGAATCTCAGAACATCACACAAACTTCCGTTTTTTTTTTCGAATTTTGTGAACTACGAGGATTTGTAGAAAGGTATTGTGGAGTTTTAATGGAGAATGCAAAGTTACGTGGGCTTATGTGTACTACAACAATGTTCTGATGTGTTTGCTCCAGTTAAACTCCACAGTTGCCTGAAGTGTAAGGTTTTTATCATGTAATATATGGCGAATTACACAGTTCCAACAGGGACGCGATACTGACAATGTCAACACAAATCAGTGACACCTAAAACGCCTTCGGAGGCATGGCGAATTACACAGTTCCAACAGGGACGCGATACTGACAATGTCAACACAAATCAGTGACACCTAAAACGCCATTCGGAGGCAAAGTATAACTACACAGTCATAACTGAGACGTTAATTGCGTCGATACAGTTGATGTAAAAGTGTATGGCAATGAATTCTTCTTGAGGTTTTGGTAACGGCATTAACCAAGATTTCATTCTGGTAACACGTTTTGTTCGCCGTGTGCAGGTACATAGCATCGTTGTTATACAAGGTTTGTGCGTAAATTCTACACGGACTACTTTCAGGAAAAATGCACTATATTGTCTTTGAAGGTACGAAGTTATGAGTAGCATACGGCATACAGATTACAGACCATGAACGGACTACATGAGGATTTATCAAAGTCCACCTGAACTGCATATTCCAGGACCAAATTCCATGTGGTACCTTGTGCTGTTCCCATTGCGCTTTCTAAGACTTAAGGATCGACAGGTTACGGTAGCACTGTGAAATGACAACCCAATAACATCTCACAAGCAGCCTTCTTCAGATATCTATTAAACCCATTAGACTGAGCTTATTCTTGTGCCTACCTTCGATGCTTCACTTTCAGCTACTGGCTCACATATTTTGAATAAATGTAAGCAAGATCTAGTGAACGGGTGTTCAAAATTCCCCAAATCGAGTGACTGTAATTTGTCTAAACGTCGCACAAAAGTCGTAAGATTGCTGTAAGCTCTTCGAAAAACTACGACCGTCTTCACCCCTCTTACGGCTCACAGGGTGGGCGTAAATCCCGAATTTCCGTCAGTCTCATGTCCTGTTGAAACCAAATTGAACGGAATCGGACAAATGCTACCATATGCGCACGGTTTCGTCGGGAGACTCAAATGAACATAGTTGAGTTTCTCGTTTGTGATGGTCTGTTACGACTCAGTGTGCTGCACCAGACTGCCCTTGTTTCAGTTGGTACGACAGTAGAAGCATCGCAATGTATTGTCTAAACGTCACACGCTACTCACAAGTTTGCTGAAAATTCCTAGTTGGCCTACTACCGGTTTCGCTCATTTTGGAGCTCAGTAGGTAGGCGCAGTACCTGATTTTCCCTATCGTACCAGAATATCATGCGGCAGAGATCCAGCAAAAATCAGTTGAGTTCCATGTCGAAACGAAATGGCCATGCCCTTTCATACCAGCCACACACCGCACAACAGAAAGTGAAAAATCTCTTATCCGTGTGCATATGAATCCTTCCTTTCGCTTATGTGACATACTGGTAAACAGTCATGGCAAGAATCAAGTCACGACAGATGACGGTTCCGAAACCATATAATATATATATATATGGATATTTTTATGCAATTTTAAACCCACAAGAGAAAAATACCCTTCCAATAGAGAAGTCATGGACGAAATCCATAAAATTGGTGACCGAGACGGTAATTCACAGTCTAACGCAAGTCCACATCCAGGTGATGATGTTAAATAAGCTCAGCCTGTTTTACCTGAACAAAGCTGCTTTGAACATCGAGGTATTGTGGTAATCCTCAGGCCAAAATTTGATCGCTGTCCGATTTATTACTTTAAGCAATCTGGTGAACATATACTCGATGCTATTGTTAGGGCATCGAACAAGGAGGGTACTCAGTGGTGGAAGAAACATCAGTACTGTCTTACCTAAAATGACAATAACTTCTGGACCGTGGTCTGAAGAGAACGTACCCGGTTTGTATATGATTTGGTTACCAGATGAGTTCTAAATTCCGCATATCCCATCTTTTCCTTATACCAAACCGTTGTCCTTTTATCGGACTTTCCAAACCAGTTGTGTTCAGCTGCCAATCTTAGGCGGACTCACTGTGACAGTATGCGCCATATATGAAACCATACTCGTGTCAAAGGCTTTCAAATACGAAGTCCTCAACATATTTCAGACGTTTGCGGATGTGGCGAACTTGACACCTCATTATGGGGGATTTATCTTCTTGCTAGTATTGCTGTTTCGAGAAACAACCTGAAATACATGCACGAGCTATTAAGCTTCATTTTGACTTCACTATCTTCGAAGGAGATTCACTGTCTGAGCTGTGGTTAGGCGAAGCCGGGGTATCCAACTTATAGTAGGTAGTTCAGGGCTCCCTGGTTAGTTCTTGATGTACATCTCCGTCTTGTTTGCACTATACCCCGACTCAGCAAGAACCCCTGGTGTTACAGAGAAGTCCAGTGACTAAAAATGGCGATCCAGTATCTTGCCGTTTGAGAGCTTCCACCGACTTTTCACGCAGTCGTTTTTCGATTGACCATCAGTCTGACGTCCGAAATACCAAGTATACACTGTTCAATTCATCTCCGGCTTTACGCCGTTTAACCTCCGGAAACCAGGGAGAATATGGAATGTTGTTGCAGGTTACAATCTAGATGGCTCGTTCTACCCCTCGTATCTGTGGTCTCTAAAACACTTCACGTTTCGCTAATTACTCAATCGCATTAATGTGATGTAGTTAGAAAAGAGAGGGTGGGCTTCAGCCCCATGTAGCCCTATCACCAACGGTTTCATGCATAACATACTGATGGGTGGTGAAAAAGTTTTGCGAACGGAAGTCGTGTCTCCCAATAAGCCGGAAGTAACGGATTGTGAAGGCGTATCACGTTGGTTGTACAGCCATTCAAATCTACCAGATCTGACAGTCAGGTCAGGACTGCAGAGGTCGCACATTGGTTGTTATTTAGAGATAGACTGCGCCGTTTGCTCAAGGTGATGCATGGCATTCTTTAGCTGGACATTTTGAACCAATTTTGGCTACATGCTGCTATTGACGTGATACAAGAATAAGACGAATATATCGACCAGTGTAATGTCCATCCATCCAATGAACTCGCTAGCTAACAGGCGATTCTACACAGGAACCGAGGTGACTTCCATTTGACAACCCCAAACATTAGGAACGCGACGAGGGATACCGCTAGTCAGTACAAACCTGCAAACAGGTTGTCATCCGTTGCAATGCTCAAATCATACATAACCTATCTAAACTAAACTGTGTCAACCTCACGCAAGTCGATTCGTCCCGTGAAATTCGACATGACGGAGTCAATCACACATGAAATAACCCATATTCTGATGAAACATACTTCGGACTTATTACGACGAGCGGGTGACAGAAACGACTGGTAGCTGAGATAGGAGAGTGAAGCGTACGAACTTGCAGGCTCTTGGTTACCTGGAAAGCGTCGTTGCTGCAAAAAAGGTTCACGGTGAATTACGCCGAAAAGAACGAAATTGAACTATTTCTACCTCCATTGGTACTGTCATTTTCATAGGTTTTGTTTTGTCCGCAAAGTATTCATTTGATTGGACAGTGCCACTGCTTTTAGAATGTGCAATTCAGTGATTTTAGATATGAATTACACTCGCATGCAATGCTGATTGTTCCATTACCTGTTGCTGGGATCAAGTGCAGAGGGACACCATAAGAGGGCTAGAGTAATCGTATATACCTTTCTGTCAATCGGTCAGATCAACCTGCAGAAACTGACAGCCGTGATAACACCATCTAGGTATATGGGGAAGGAGAGTGGATAGAAACTGCGGAACAATAAGGGTATTTATAAAAGCGGGACATAACAACAAGGGGGGTTAGTTAGGGTCTTCAAGTAGTTGACTGCATCCAGATTCAACCGCACGTTTTTCAAGTGGCGTTCGTTCATCAGGTTCTTCCCCCCTGCCTTCTTCTTCCTCGTCGCCTTCGTCATCTTCCGCATCTTCAGATGAACTCTCACTAACTGAGCTTGATTCACTCGTTGAGACGGGCTCATAATAAGTCACGGAAAGGTCATAACAAGAAGGTGGGGAATCATCAGTCGACTGTTTATTGTTTGATAACTGTGGGAAAAGAGGGGATGGGCGCGCAGAATGATTGATGTATTTGACGAAGCTAGCCGTGCCCGGACCGGCATACACCAGTGTCAAAGCGTTGTTTATCGGACTCACGCTTAGCAACTGTAACAAAGTGGAATTGTAAAAGATTTGAAATTTTACCTTCAAATTCCTCTAAACTACAACAAATGATGATAGAACACACCATGTTGCAGTATCACATATGGTGAAACAGAACCATCCTAGTTGGTTTATGAGGTAGGTCCAAAAGAAAAACGCGGGTACTTAACCGCCACACAACCATGTCCAGTTTTTTTTTAAACAAAGCGCAAAATCAAATCTGGGATGGAAATTGGTTTAGTGCATTCCCTTCTTAAACACACGAGATACCTACACCTCTAAACGTCCGTTAGGTAACAAAGTGACGTGACGGTGGTTAAAACTCTCATCCTGCAACACCTCCAGCGCACGAAGGATCATATAAATCTAGCCCTGTAAGGCAAACAACACCGACATCGCCCAGACTCCCTGTAGTCTCAGCCCGGGTTTCCAGTACATTGTCTCCGGTTTAGCGCGACAAAATGCATTCGAGAGAAACTCCACAACTGCGTTACTTGGCGTCTAAGGAGAAGACATCTGAGAGACGATCAGTCCTCAACCTTATGGGCAGAAGCACCCCATGCCTTAGGCTTTCAAATAGATCATGGTTGTAAGGCAGTGAAGTTGTCATGCTGCCGATAATGATAAGCATTAAATGAAGATTAGAGTTCCAAAAAAATCCTTGTCAGATTTCGAAGGGCTATGTGTCATGCCTATAGGTCAATTTCAAACAAATGTGGAAGGGAGGGGACAATCGTACTGACCGACAGAGGTACAGAAACTCAACAAGTTTCGTCCGTATAAACACCACATGAATACAATCCGCGGAAAACCGCTATTGACGGATGTTCTGAACAGACACTAGCATCCTTAAAATGCAATAAATCCAGATGAGATTTACTCGCATCATCTGCTGGAACGGCACGCTAGGTGTGTCATCGGCGAAATATCGCAAGTTCTGACCAAGAGCCTACCAGAAGCACGTCAAATTGATTAAACTGTGAACCAGACCCAGTAAGCAGTTTCCGATGAGTAAAAAACTATTTCGTCGTCAGCAGAATACGACAGGTTCCACGACGTTATTCGTGTGTTCATACGCAATGAGGGAAATAGATCGGAAG